CTTTGGTTCCGAAGGGGCGGGGGGATCACTGCGGATGGCTGTGAAAGCCGTTCGCACCACTTTGAAACGAAACACCCTGGTTGGCATTTGCAAGGGGCTCGAATCATTGAATCATTCCACTGTGTCTTAGGTCAGGACTTCGTCCAACCGCATGAGGTAGATTCGACATAGAGCATTCTAAGAGAACAATACCGCCTACCGAGGGTAACACAGGACTTGGCGTGTCTTAAAGTAGGGGACCGCTCCAAAAACAGAAAAATCGTGGTTTCCCGTATGTTTCTTTCAAATGAGCATCCAAAAAGGTGCCCGACACACCCGCCAAAAAGGCTGGCTCGGTCGGGTTCCAAAGACGGCGCGCCGCCCGTTTTAGGGGGTCAATGGCAACAAGATCCGGTACTTTCCGGAGGTTCTCGCCGAAACTTCCATTTGGTTAAGACCCCTGGGAAAAAATAAAAATATGTCCAGTAGTGATAAATTCCTTTTAAAACCAACAAAAAATCAACAATATTCATTTCAGCAAATGGAAAAAATGCAGGCCCCGATTTGTTTTTCCCGCGCCCGTCTTTATGGCGCCGGTCAATTGGGCGCCCGGGCGATTCCTGCGGGGCGTCTTGCTGCGACTCTTGGGCCGGCGCGGACCTCGGCGATGGATTTGGGTGAAGGTTTTGGGGAGGGAAAACTAGCCTGGGTGAGCTGATTCTGTTTCTGTTTCGGTTTGCCCTAAAACAACGCAATCGTTTCGCAGACCCCGCACCCGGCAGGCCCAACCTAGGGACGGATTCCTGCCCGATCAAGCTCCCGGCTTCTCCTTCTCTCTTCTGGGTGATGGTGTCTATGCGAGTCATAGCTTTCGTGCCTGGCTTTGACTGCACCCCTTCGTTTTGGTTCGCGACCGGCGAACACACGTCCAGGCGTTCCGTGTTTCTCCCCTTGCCAGGCTTCCGCATTCAAGCTTCTGTTTGGTTAAGACCCCTGGAAAAAATCCAGTAGTGATAAATTCCTTTTAACAACCAACAAGGGAAAATAAACAGTATTCTTAAGCAAGTGGAAGCAAGCGGTGACGTCAAGCACCAATTTTGTTTGGAGGCCCCCTCATGCGTTGAGTCGGCATCGCATCGCGAATGGGACCCCACGAGTTGAGTGTAAACTAGGTCCTCCAGTGGAGAGGTTAGAATAAGGGTACCCGATTTTTTCTATAGTCTCTTTTATGACATTGCGCAACTTAGCATGGCTGGCAAGAAAGTAGTTTGCAGCGACATGCCCACCATCTTCGATCTTGAGGATGCAGTGCGCAAATTGCGTACAGGCAAGTCGTACAGCATGTGCCAATTGCCACCTGAATTGGCACGTGCCTCCACGAGTGACTTTGCGCGGATGCTCTGGCCTGTGTTTTTGAAATTCTGGATTTGGAAGGCGGACCCAATCTGGTTGAAAGGAGGGCGAGTTTGCCCTATAAGGGTACAGGGGCACGACAGCTGATCACGTCATACCGCAGTATCTGTGTGACATCAGTGGTGACGAAGTGCTTTCAAAGTATCCTGAGGGACAAGGTCAGAATCAGCCTCCAGCCGTGTCTTGGCACCCTACAGATAGGAGGATTCCCGCTCATGGGCACGGATTTCGGGTCACATGCGCTAAGGGCCCTCATGGCAACAGCCTCTGGACAGAAGAAACCCTTTGTTATCTTCCTGGACCTCAGCAACGCCTTTTATAGCGTGCATCGAGAAGGCTTTTGCGGAGATCGTTTGGGCATTGCAGAGCCAGATGAGATGCGCATTTTTAGTGACCTCAGTACAAATGATGCTCTCAGTGAATATGGTCTGTCGGAAGAGCTGAGAACACTGGCCCAGCAGGTTTTGCACAATTCCTGGTTCTATGTGAATTCGCACGGCGCGGACCAACCCAGTGAACAAGTAAATCGCAGTCAGCGGGGCACGAGACCGGGAACTCCCATGGCGGATCTGGCTTTTACGGCAGTCATGGGAAAGGCTGTTGAGGGGGTGATGCATGACTGCAGACAAATCCAACTCAACCGAGGTCACGGACCCATTATTTGGATGGATGATGTGGCTTTGATGGTTGAGAGCCCCTCTTCTCAGGACCTACTGGTTGACACCCACGTGGTTCTGTCCTCGCTGGCTCGCAGAATGCGAGAGAAGGGGCTGCAGATCAACTACAAACGCAACAAGACGGAGATCTTGTTCCATCTGGCTGGGAATGGCGCCAATGGCTGCAGACGCAAGATTCATTTTGAAGACAAAGATGACATCTTTTCTGAACAGGGCGGAGCCGTGCAGACAGTACATGTCGTCTCCAGCTACAAGCACTTGGGCACCTTTCAGCAAGCATCGGGAGGCATTTGGACCGACCTGAAGCACCGTCTGGGGCAAGCAGCAGGAGAATGGAGCGCGGCCCAGTTCAAGTTGTTTTGCAGCCCACAGATTCCTTTGAAGGTACGACTGCATTTCTTCAAGGCTTTGGTCTTTTCGCGCCTCTTCCACAAGTGTGAGACTTGGCCCCGGCTCAGTGTCAGACACTACAAGCGTCTGGATGCCCTCGTTATGAAGTGTTACAGGGGTCTTGCAGGTATGAGACACTTTGCGGAGCAAGCTGATCGCTCTACCAACAGAGCAGTGCGCAGAGCAATCATGCAGCCCAGTACGGCGGTTATTCTCAGACAGGCAAGGCTCCGGTATCTTCGCAGGCTTTTGGTGCGTGGGCCAAACCCTGTGTTGCTGGTGCAGGAGGATGCAGCTTGCGCAGATGGCTGGTGGGAACAAGTACGGGATGACTTGCGAGAGCTGCAGAAGTTCTTCAAAGGCAAGCTTGAGCGCATGCCGGAACCGTCGTGTGACCTTCAGCCGTGGATCGACTTCATCAAGGGGAGTCAGGGAAGATGGCACAGTTTTCTGCAGCAGTGCGTTGAGAAGACGGTCTGGCATGAGGTGTTGATGGAAGACCTTCAAGAGTGGGAATGCGGATATCGTGCCAACCTGCAAAAGGCTGCGTCTGCCGGTGGAGGGCATAGGTGGTGGTGAAGAGCAGGGAGAAGCAGGCAGAGGCCGGCTTTTTCAATGTGGAACCTGTGCATATCGAGCAGCCAGCGGGTGGCAGCTGCGCCTGCATGAAAACAGAAAACATGGCTGCTACTCGCTTATACGCAGATATATGTTCACAGGGGGAGTTTGCCATGCGTGCTTAAGAGATTTCCATGACAGGAACCGTCTTCGGCAGCACTTGCAATATCGCAGTGATACGTGCCTGTATCACCTGCAGGCGACCGTGTGGCCGCTGTCAAGCGAGGACATTCGGGAGGCAGAAGAGATGCCGCCACCACAGGAAAGGCCGCATAGACTTCCTTGGAGACAGCACTTTGGTCCGCTAACACCAAGCAGGGCAGAGTGGGAGGAGGCGCAAATAGAGCCGAATCCAGACCGCTTCCCACCCCGCTTGCTTGCAGATACACCGGATTTTCCAGTTGGGGTGCGCTTGGACGATAGTCGAGACGCTCTCCTAGATTCTCCAGTTTGTGCACAGTCAGCAACTTGCAGCCTGGACGTTTGTCGAGACGCTCTTCAGGAAGCTGCTCAGTGCAGAACACCGGAAGATATTGCTGACCGCCTAGGGGCATGCCGGGGAGAGACGTGTTTGTCCTTTACCTTTATTCAGGGCGGAGGCGTGAAGGGGACATGTCATCATGGGCAGACCACTTCAATCAAGCGAGTCCAGCGGGTAGACGAGTTTGGGTCATTACACTGGACATTGTCTATGGCGCTGAGGGAGATCTTCTTGACCCCACAGTGCGTGCCAGATGGAGTAAGCATCTCAGAGCTGGCCGCATATGTGCAGTCTTGGTTGCACCGCCGTGTGAAACCTGGAGTAGAGCCAGGTGGGCATCAGTGCTTGCGGGGGATGATGGTCCCAAGCCGCTTCGGTGCAGTGAAGAGCCATGGGGCAGGAGATCGGTTGCAGTAAGGCACGGACGACAACTGCAGGTTGCGAACAGGCTTTTGCAAGAGGCGTTAGCCTTTATGCTGCTTGCAATTGAGTGTCAGGTTGTCGGCTTGTGCGAACATCCAAAGGAGCCGCCTGAGCCTTTTCTGCCTTCAATCTGGAGGCTTCCACACATGCGGAGCTTACTGCAGGCCAAGCATACCATCAGAGTGCTGGTTCACCAGCATGACTGTGGGGCCATCAGTGCAAAACCGACTCACTTCTTCGTTGCCAATGCAAAGAACACCGCTGCAATCCTTCAGGAAGAGAAGCTGCCGGTGCATCTTAGGCGCCAGAAGATTGTGCTGAGAGGTCGAGATGCACAAGGTGCATGGCGCACTGCAAGTGCAAAAGAGTATCCCCCTCGCCTTAACAAAGCGCTTTTGCGTCTGTGCTTGAGCCAACAGACAGCGCTGCGAGGGGAAAGTCCTGAAGATGCCGATTTTTGCATTGAGGCATCTTCTTTTTGTCGGCGGGCGGCTGCGACCAATGCAGCTATGGGGCCCGACTTTGCCGGCTGAATTCATAAGGGTTGAGTGACCGCTCCCCGTGCAATAGCAGAGATTTCTCGGTGCTTGAGAAAGAAAGAAAGAACCCTCCCCCAAGAAAGGGTAAAAGGGCACTACTGGGGGACCTAGTAAATTGGCCCAGGGGACAACCAGCTTGCAAACGAGGAACCGTCTTCACTCTTGCCCTTTTCAGCTGAAGTTCCTGAAGGCCCATGCTACACAACGGGCCAACTAATCACGACCTATGGCAAGACATCCAACGCGCTTGGTGGAGCTGGTTCAAATGAGGTCGGACAAAACTGGGCGCCAAAAATACGGGGCGGGCCCTTCTGGCTTCCCGTTCAAACCAAGGCGGAGAAAAACTAGGTCCTGGTGTGGAGAGGCTAGAATAAGGGTACCCATTTTTTCTGTAGTCTATTTTAATAGGGGAACCCTCCCAACCAAAAAAGGGGTGAGAAAGGGCACTACTGGGGGACCTAGAAAATCGAAGCCACCGACTCACACGTGGCAGGCAGGCGGCATCTGCTCCTGCACGGTGGGCTCTGGCCTGAGACGGCTGGGGATCTGCCGTCGATTTCCAGGCAGCCGCATTTTGGGCACTGGTGGGGGAAGCCCAGCGGTCTCTTTTGGGACCTTTCGGAAACTGTGGCAGGGGCTCTTTCCAGCCCAAATCCCGGTAGGAACAAAGCACTGCCACCCCAAGGCTTTGAAAACGCCCGCTGCTTCAGCTCGGCGCGTGCGCCCAGATGGGAGCAAAAACACCCCCAAAAATGTGTGCGGCCCAAGCGGTCGGCTTCAGGTGGACTCCCTTGGCGAGAGCGACTTGGCCCATGGGTGAGCAAATTTGTGAGGTTCCACGCTTGATAGGAGGAAATACTCCCCTGACCCTTATAAACAATCCCCAACTCGGCTTCCTTTAAGGGAATCCCCTTCCGGTTCAGTCCCAAAAGCTGTTCTCAGTCATTCCCGACCTATCGCACCAGCGAGTTTCAGTGCTCTTCGGGCCCTTGGACATAAGAATTTAGTGGGGGGGGGGTGCGCTGAGAGGTCCAACCGCGAAAATTCAGAACGCCACATGCGGAAAGAACTTGACTGGCCAAGTGCCAACCAGAGGTTTGGCCCTGAGTGCAACTGTTACATCCAGAGAGAAAAAGCACAAATATGTTGATTCAACAAACCCCAGGTCAGTGTTGGGTCTTTCTTTGGCCCGCACAAAAAAAGATTCTGAGGAAAAATGGGAAGTTGCTGAGGTTACATCCCCCCCATCGTCCTACAACCAGAAATTATGGCTTTCCTTGTGGTTTCCCTTTGAACCAACCTGTGAAGGGTACCCTCCAAATCAAACAACAACAAACCCCTGAAACTAGCCCTGATACCCCCAACCCATTGGCCCAACCCTCTTTCCCTCACAAACCCACACCCATCATGTTGAATGGGGGTCCCATCTACCCTCAACAAGTTCAAATCCAAGCCACGTTTCCTGACAAAAGGGGCACCTAATAGGTGTGCGGATTTTAGTGGACCCCTGAATTGGCGTCGGTCTTGCTCTTGGCTTCCCTGCAAAACCCAACAAGAAAGGGATCCCACTCCTAAGAAAAACACACCCACCCACCTTCGAAAAACAAATGGGAGTCACCATAAATAAAGACCCCTGGATCCAAAACAAACGGGTCACCATACATGGAGGATCCTGGAGACCCATTTTTCAGGTGGTGGGAACCGACCATCCCCCCCGATCCCATCCCATCCCGTTTCGCGTGGGGTTCCCCGGCAGCCAGAGCTTCACCGGGGGCTTCATGGCCGGGTTCAGCGGGTCCGGGTGCCAGGACCTGGCTTCAGCTTTCGCCGTGGCTTCGGTCGCCACGTCCGGCGGATGCGGCGGCGTTTCGTTGAGGGCGGAGGGGGGTGGAGGTCTGCGACCCCCTGCGTGGGACTTTGTGTGTTGATTGTTTGTTGTTCTTCTTCTCGGGCGGCAACTTGGGCCGGAAAAACCCAGGTGGTGGAGCTTTTGTGTTGCCTCCCCTGCGTGGCTGTTCGGGCTTTGTTCGAAACAAATCCTCAAAAGAGGGCCAGTCAAACTCGCCCACAATCTCAATCCCCGGCCAGGAGAGATAAGGGAATGTCTTGGGCTCTAGTGGCAAAAAGTGAGATGAACCCTACACCTAGAAACTTGTCTTCAAATATTTTATGGGGTGGCCAATCCTATCATATTCCTTTTTCGGAAAGCCACTGTTATCAGGGCACAAATGCTCATACTTCTGCACAGCCTTGCGCCAAACAGCCCGGGCTCCCGGCCTGCCATGCCCCTCCTTGGCTCGCAAGGGGGATCAAAGCTACCCAGATCCAAAGTGCACGCGCGAGCGCGGCCAATGCAAGTACAGCAAGTACCACAGACGGCCGGATTCTCTCCGTGATGCATCTTCCCTGAGAGTCGCCTGGGGCAACAGGTGGAAAGGCAAGAGGCTTTCCCGCGCTTCAGGCTCGCCGACTGGAAGATACTGGCCTGTATGCAACCCCCAAGTAAGTGAGAGCCAGCGACGCCCAGTAACGTTTTGAAGAAGATGTGTAATTATTCCGCTTGTTGCTAGATAAGTAACCCGCCGAATCTTCGATCGTGCGCTAATGCTGCACCACGGAGAGAAAAAAGAGACGCAAGCAAAACAAGTCTTACCCGTCAGATCGACACGCGACTCATGTTCTTGAAGCACAAACCTTCCAAGGCACCCTAAAAACCAGCACCAGAGCAACCAGCTCCAACAACAACCACCC